TGAAACAGTCCCTTAAAAGTCACGTCTCGCTTTCAGTTTCGGGCTTTGGCGCGTTTTACACAAGCGTACCGCGCCAAAGCCCAAGTGAACCGCGCTCAGGCACACCTCTTCCAACCAGGCCAGGGCCGGCCAAGTAAACCGTGCTTGAGCCCGATTCAGCGCACTCACACTTCTCAAGCGATCCGGGAAATGGGCCCGGGCACGGTACGGATGGCATAGTGCGAGTACGCCCTAAAACTAAAATGATTCAGAAGACTAAAATAATAGACTAAAACTAAAATGGAAGTTTAGTCAAACTAACTACGACTAAAAGCAAATCAAAATTTGCTGTCAAAACACTGCTATGGAGAGTCCCCATTAACATTAAATCCCAACATTGTGTGTGTGTGTGTGTGTGTGTGTGCATCTTTACCCTGGAGGGTTAACTAGGCGTCTGCCTGCTGACCCCTGTGACCCAGGCCTTTTCCTCGGACCTCAGGAGAACAGCAGGTATACAATCACACACACACACACACACACACACACACACACACACACACACATAGACGCAGCACAGAACAGCAGGACAACAAGAGCCGAGGGGCAGACGGAGACTTCGCCGCGATGCAAAGCTGTTGCATTGTCAAAGAGCTGCTAATGCACTAAATAGAGCAGTGACAAAGACACACACACACAGGCCCAGCTGTCAAACACACACGCGCTGGCACGAGTCACATCAGCAGGGTGACTTCTGCCATCAGGACTAACGCATTTCTGTCTTTGTTGATGTAACGGGTAAACGCAGCCGCGTGCGTTACAAATTACCATCACAAAGGCCTGCTGGGTGACATACATGAAGTATTCTTACACACACACACACACAACGCACACACACACACACACACACTGATTACTCTGTCTGGCTCTCAGAGCTTTGATCAGCACTCATCAGTCCATTACACTACACCAACACACTCAGTATCTGTGTGGTTCTGTGGTAAAATAGCTTTCTTAAATCGCTTCCCCTTTCACTGAGAAACAGAATTGCAGTGGATATTAAGTGCTGTTTATTAAACAACTGATATAAAGTTAAACGTTAAAGTTTACTCTCAAGTCTGTCCATGTGGATATACTTTAGATAACCGATAATCCCTTTAGAATAAGATCATTGCTGACTCCATGACGGATCTTTTTCCAGACCTATAATGAGCACAAACAAGTTTATATATATTTATACAACAGTTCTGTCTGGTTCTCAAATCTAATTGGCTGATAGTCGTGCGATATTCTGAAATATCAGAACTCCTACAGCCTCTTTACCCTTTGTGTATTACTCCGCCCACATACAGCCAGCAAAAAGCAGACACTACAGATCTACAGTTTAAAAGATGCACGCTCAGCTGTTTAACTGTCAGCTTATGATTTGAATCCTACGCGGAAGAAAGTAGTTCCTCATACAAAAGGGGTTTTTGAGACTCTCCATGTTTGATTTTGCTTTTAAATACACAATTGTGCCGTCAAACTGTTGTATAAACGCAATATCACACGAGTAGCAGGGCGATATGGCTGTATATCGGCACTGGTGGGGGCACTAAGGCACCCTAAGGCATCGCATGCCTCCCACCAGAGCCGATATACAGATATATATATATATCTATCGTAAAACAGCCCCGCCCCCTACTCAATATTCACTATCAGTTGAGATCAGTTCATGAACGTCTCAGCAACGTCCGAGCATCATCTTCATCAGCAGCAACAGGTGTTCATTTGTTGATGATGATATGAAGATCATCATCAGCTTCAATAGGTCTTTGTGTGTGTCAACAGAAGGATGAAGAGTGTCATCTTCATCATCTTCAGCAGGCGTTTGTGTTATTGATGGTCAGCTGGAGGATGAAGAGCATTATCATCATCATCATCTTCACCAGGTGTTTGTGTTGTTGTTGATAGTCAGCTGCAGGATGGAGATCATCATCATCATCTTTAGCAGGTGTTTATGTGTGTTATTGATGGTCAGCTACAGGATGAAGATCATCATCATCATCATCATCTTCATCATCATCATCTTCAGCAGGTGTTTGTGTGTTGTTAATGGTCAGCTGCAGGATGAAGAGCATCATCATCATCATCATCATCATCATCATCATGTTTAGCAGGTGTTTGTGTGTTGTTAATTGTCAGCTGCAGGATGAAGAGCATCATCATCATCTTCATCATCATCATCATCTTCAGCAGGTGTTTGTGTTGTTGATAGTCAGCTACAGAATGAAGATCATCATCATCATCATCATTTTCATCATCATGTTCAGCAGGTGTTTGTGTGTGTTATTGATGGTCAGCTGCAGGATGAAGAGCATCATCATCATCTTCATCATCATCATCTTCAGCAGGTGTTTGTGTGTTGTTAATGATCAGCTGCAGGATGAAGAGCATCATCATAATCTTCATCATCATCATCTTCAGCATGGTGTTTGTGTTGTTGATAGTCAGCTACAGGATGAAGATCCTCATCATTATCATCATCATCTTCATCTTCATCATCTTCAGCAGGTGTTTGTGTTGTTGATAGTCAGCTGCAGGATGAAGAGCATCATCATCATCATCATCATCATCATCATCATCATCATCATCATGATCATCATGATCTTCATCTTCAGCAGGTGTTTGTGTTGTTGATAGTCAGCTGCAGGATGAAGGGCATCATCATCATCATCATCATGATCATCATGATCTTCATCTTCAGCAGGTGTTTGTGTTGTTGTTGATGGTCAGCAGCACGACGAAGAGCATCATCATCATCTTCATCATGTTTAGCAGGTGTTTGTGTTGTTGATAGTCAGCTGCAGAATGGAGATCATCATCATCATCTTTAGCAGGTGTTTGTGTGTTGTTGATGGTCAGCTGCAGGATGAAGAGCATCATCATCATCATCATCTTCAGCAGGTGTTTGTGTTGTTGTTGATGGTCAGCAGCATGACGAAGAGCATCATCATCATCAACTTCATCATGTTTAGCAGGTGTTTGTGTGTTGTTGATGGTCAGCTGCAGGATGAAGATCATCATCATCATCATCATCATCTTCAGCAGGTGTTTGTGTTGTTGTTGATGGTCAGCAGCACGACGAAGAGCATCATCATCATCATCATCTTCAGCAGGTGTTTGTGTTGTTGTTGATGGTCAGCAGCACGACGAAGAGCATCGTCATCATCAACTTCATCATGTTTAGCAGGTGTTTGTGTTGTTGATGGTCAGCTGCAGGATGAAGATCATCATCATCATCATCATCATCATCTTCATCATGGTTAGCAGGTGTTTGTGTGTTGTTGATGGTCAGCTGCAGGATGAAGATCATCATCATCATCATCATGATCTTCATCAGTTTACTGTGTTGTTGTTGATGGTCAGCAGCAAGATAAAGAGCCTCATCTTTATCTTCATCATCATGATCTTCAGCAGGTGTTTGTGTGTGTTGTTGATGGTCAGCTGCAGGATGAAGAGCATCATCATCTTCAGCAGGTGTGTGTGTGTGTGTGTGTGTGTGTGTTGTTGTTGTTGATGGTCAGCAGCTGTGTCTCTGGCTCAGGAGCAGGTGGCCACTCGTGAGGGTTTTGGGAAAGAAAGAGCAGCATGTGTTTGTGTGGGAGGAACGGGAGGAGGGAGAGACACACACACACACACACCGCTAACAAATGACAACCTCAATGGACACACTCTAGAAGAATCAGAATCAGCTTTATTCGCCAAGTGTGCCCAAACACAAGGAATTTTTGTGGGCTTTTTTCAGAAGTCCATACAGTATCAACACAAGAACACAGAATGACATTTAAATAAGTGGAAAATAAAGTAAACAATACACATTCTGAAGGTATATATTGTTGTTATTATTTTTTAACTGTATTACTGTATTATTTTTTAAGTTAGCCTGTCTGACAGCAAGCAGATTTCATTGAAAATCATTCATTCACACACATACACGACAATTTAGCCTACCCAATTCCACTATAGCGCATATGTTTGGACTGTGGGGGAAACCGGAGCACCCAGAGAAAACCCACGCCAACACGGGGAGAACATGCAATCTCCACACAGAAATGCCAACTGACCCAGCTGGGGATCGAACCAGAAACTTTGGAATTAGTACCTTCAATCGGTCTAGGCATTGTTTTTCATTTAGTGTTTATCTTATTTTGCCAATTTTTGATTATTGCGATATTGTTTATCAGAGTGCACCGAAATGAGATCTTGCTCCTCTTAATACAGCATATAATAGACTTTGCAGATTTTTTCAGGGTAGTTCTTTTTACACACATCATTGTATTATGAAAAATCTGCTGCAGTGGCCATATCTTTGCACACAAGACAACTTTTAAATGTATTAATTTTAAGTATCCTTATTATTTACAACGATATTTAGTATTTTTTCCTGTAGACTATCACAAAAAAAAAATTGCTTAACAGGGGTTAATAATTTTGACCTTAAAATGGTGTTTAAAAAATTAAAAATTGCTTTTATTCAAGCCGAAATAAAACAAATAAGACTTTCTCCAGAAGAAAAAACATTATCTGACATACTATGAACATTTCCTTGCTCTGTTAAACACAATTTGGGAAATATTTTAAAAAGAAAAAAAATCAAAGGGGGGCTAATAATTCTGACTTCAACTGTGTATGTATATTTATTTATTTATTTATCTATCTATCTATTTATATAAATGGATGCCATTATAACGTTTTTGTTTTCTTGACATCACATGAAGGTGATGTACTGACGTTTGGGGCACATAGGCCTATAATGTTTTATGACACTGATATATTACTATGGTATGCCTTCTGGAAGCATATTATCTTCTGTATCCACAGTCCCAGCCTGTTTCTTCGGTAAAGATGAGGTTTATTGTGTCTCAGTAGCTCCACCTCCAGTAATAAACAGAGCTTCTATCAGTGTGTGTCTGTGTGTGTCTGTGTGTGTGCGTGTGTGTTCAGACTCCTATCAAGAAACACAAACACACACGAGTCCGTGGATCTACTGAAGAGCTACAAATCACGCGCGCGCTTTCTGCGAGGGTAAATATCAGAATGGTCGGGATTCCGGGCGCGTTCCAATGTAAGTACATTAATAACCTGATTATTTTGCTGTTTTGTGAGGATATCATCAACATAGCGGCGGGAATAACGCGATGTACGGCGATCTTTCTCTTGTGCTTTCCATGGTGAGATGCGTAGATAAGCCACAGTCGCTGGTGTGTTTGTAATTTTGTATTGCTCCTGCAAAACGCGATTTTGCTTTGTGACAGTACTGTATTACTGTAAGTTTGTAATAGTCGCTCGCTCTGCGCATGCGTCTTGATGTCGTTCAGCTATTTGGAACATGAACGTTCGAAACTCCCGCGTTCTGTTCCATCTGAAACATTCATATGGTATAGAACCAAGTTCAATCTGTTAATGGAGCATTCATGATGTTTAACTAGTGTTCAAGCCTGTAGCCAGCCTTGTGAAAGGGGTGGTTCTATTTTCTCAAAAGCTGGACTTTTTTTTTTTTTTTTTTTTGCAGTTATTCATCTCATTTTCTATTCAATTATGAGGTTTAAATACTAGAAGGGGTGGTCCAATACGATATCATTTTTTAAACTTTAGTTTATGTGTAATGTAGCTGTGTGAACATAAACAACATCTCTGAATGTAAAAAGTTCTACGTTCAATGCAAAGGGAGACCTTGGTTTTTACCATAGATATATACACTAGATGTCGCCTGGCCTATTGTTGTCTATTGGACGGAATGCGTCAATAGCGCCGCCATCTTGGTACAGGGTAGCGCTCCTTTGAAATGAATGCGGGACCAAGGTACAGTGGAGGACTGTGGCCATCCAAAGCCAGAGATATACACATATACACATATATCTATGATCGGGAGTTTTCCTGGATTTTATTGTGTATTTTTTTTTTCTAATTACGAAAATTATAATTTTACATCACTTTTCTACATTGATGGATCAGTGACCGCACGGGCATTCCTGACAAAAAGCTTGTGTTTGTGTGTACAGAAATGTACTATTCACCCTTCCTGTTAAATGTGATCTAATCATGTCCTGAAACACAGCTCCTCTCCTGCTTTCACTTCTCATACTGACAGAGGGAGCGATTCGTTTGTAAATGAATCCCCGAACGACTCTTTCACTAACGTTAGCCGACAATAATACAAGTTTCTGGCAGCGCAGCATCTCGTTGTCATCTTTATTTTGCATTGTTTGCTGATTTTATTCAACAAAACTAGCATAAGCCGAGTGTTTAGTGCGAGTTGGAGCTGCTTTGCCGTATGGTGAATGCAGTAAGTGACTGTTATCATCAATAACGTTACCTGATTAGCACAAAAGTTCAGAACAAACAAAAACAGAAAAAAAAACTTAATATTACCTATGAAATGTTCTGCCTTTGTGCTTTGTTTTCTTTGTTTGCTCGTTACTACACCCGTAGACAGCGCTAAAGTCCCGCATCTTCACATAGTAACACTGTCTTGACTAGTGCGGTTGAATGACATTTGTCCTGGGAGCACTGTACCAATGTGGCGGCGCTATTGACGCATGCACAGGGTCCCTATGCGATATCTAGTGTATATATCTATGGGTTTTTACAGAGTTAGCTTAGCAAAGCCTACAATGAACGAATTTTGGGGACAAAAAAAAAATACTTATGGAGGCAAACGCTCTTAAAGGAGCCGCACCCCATTTTCACTCGTTAGACACTTTTCAGATTTTATTTTAGTGAGCAGGCAGGAGGTTGACTGGCTGTTTGCACAGCAGAAAAGCGCGTGCTTTTACGGGCGTGACGTGGAGCCGATCCGCGAATAGCAGCACATTTTGACGATGACCAATCAGAGTCACTTAAGGGCGGGCCTTTCAGAGGAACTAGGAAGTATGACAAGTTGTTTTCATGTTAGCTGAGTAGCTGTGTATAATCAAAGTGAGATATATGAAGAATAACGCGATTTCCGTCAAGTGAAACATACGCACACATTGCTTTGCATCCTATAAACACAACCAAGCCTTAAAATTACATTCTGGACCACCCCTTTAACACTATTTTTTTGCTGCATTGTCATCTTAATGACACTTTATAATGTACCAGAACGTTTCCTAAAGATTAAGGATAAAGTTTAAAAGTATTTAGAATAAGTTTAATATTTAAAACTGCAGCCTATTGTTGGCCCATCGCAATAATCAACATATCAACTTAATCGCACAACACATGGACATCATTTTTGGTGATGCGATACATATCGCCATACATGTAAACCAATTCTAGCTAAATTTTAGCAGATTGTGCAACATCTCGATCTCTATTGGATGAGTCAGTGACAGTATGGTTTAAAACAGTTTAATATTCACTATAAATTACTATAGCATATTTCATGTGGGTGTCTGACAACTGATCATAGATTATTTAGGATATGGTCCGACCCTTCCTATCTGAACATGCAGCTCAACTCCTTGTTCAAGCTCTTGTTCATTCCAGACTGGACTATTGCAACTCTCTACTAGCCGGGCTTCCAACTCTATCAAACCTCTTCAGCTGCTTCAGAATGCAGCAGCACGAGTGGTCTCTAACGAACCTAAAAGAGCACATGTCACTCCGCTGCTCATCCGTTTGCACTGGCTGCCAGTTGCTGCTCGCATCAAATTCAGAGCTCTGATGTTTGCTTACAAAGCGACTTCTGGCTTTGCTCCTTCTTATCTGCTCTCGCTTCTGCAGATGTATGTGCCCTCCAGAAACTTGTGTTCTATGAATGAACGTCGCCTCGTGGTTCCATCCCAAAAAGGGAAGAAATCACTTTCCCGAACTCTCGCATTCAATCTGCCCAGTTGGTGGAATGAACTCCCTAACTGCATCAGAACAGCAGAGTCACTCGCTGTCTTCAAGAAACGACTAAAAACTCAACTATTTAGTCTCCACTTTCCTTCCTAATCTGCGATTGCCTCTCTGGTTCTACCGCTAACTGTATTACAAAAAAAAAAAAAAAACAACTTACATTACTAATGTTTTGCCTCTTACACTTTACACACCTGAAACTTGCCTACAGCACTTATTCATTGTTGCTCTTATAGTTGTGTAAATTGCTTCCTTGTCCTCATTTGTAAGTCGCTTTGGATAAAAGCGTCAGCTAAATGACTAAATGTAAATGTAAATTCATTTATGTAGCATCTGTAGATTTATGTGTCTGAATTTATGCAGTGATTTACCAATTATGGGCGTCAAGGTATCAGTGGATAACACAATCGCCTCACAGCAAGAAGGTTGCTGGTTCGAATCCTGACTGGGCCAGTTGGCATTTCTGTGTGGAGTTTGCATGTTCTCCCCGTGATGGCGTGGGTTTCCTCCGGTTGCTCCGGTTTCCCCCACAGTCCAAACACATGCGCTATAGGCGAATTGATGAACTACATTGGCCGTAGTGTATGTGTGTAAATGAGTGAGTATGGGTGTTTCCCAGTGTTGGGTTGCTACTGGAAGAGCATCCGCTGCATAAAACATATGTTGGATAAGTTGGCGGTTCATTCCGCTGTGGTCACCCCAGATTAATAAAGGGGCTAAGCCGAAAAGAAAATGAATGAATGATATTATGAATTATGATATATATTATTTTAATATGTACCATGATGCTCCTCTCCTGTTTGGTCAATATATGTTTGGTCAATGTTGTGTAAAAGTAGCAGCTGCCATATTACAGTAGGTATATTTTGATGCTAATAGGATGGTGGTGTTTGGTAAGGGCAAGCTGTCTGTATGGGATGCTACGCCGGCTCTAATCTGTTTTGAGGGTCGGAGACGGACCCTCTCTTGTGTCTCAATGGAGGATTTGGCGTTAATCCCTTGGGCAAAGTTTCACACCATCTGGACTTTAGTGTTGCTCAGCTGACGCATCTACAGGAGGCTGTGTGTGTGTGTGTGTGTGTGTGTGTGTGTGTGTGTTTACAATGAAATGTCATGGTGCCACTGCAGTGCTGGAGAATAACACAGGCCATTGTTTTTCCCCCGGGTTTGTTTCCTTGGCCTGAATAGCTAATCTGTGCCTGGTGATGTTGGATATTTATCGTTTTGACCACTTGAGGGCGTGATTGCTGTAGTTGAACGTGTTTGAGATTGACTCATGACAGAGAGACTCACTTTATTAGTAGAAAAAAAACAATCCATGATGACTAGCATTGTGTTTTAATGTACTCAATCTTAGTGAAAAACAATAATAATAATAATATTGATAAAAATTCATCATCATTTTATGATTATATATATTCAATTCAGCTTTATTTGTATAGCGCTTTTGCAATGTAGATTGTGTCAAAGCAGCTTCACACAAATGGTCATAGTAACTGGCTCAGGGTAGTTCAGTGTTTAGTGTTTAAGTTCAGTTCAGTTTAGCTCAGTTCAGTGTGGTTTGAAGTCATTATTGAGAGCCCAAACCCTGAAGAGCAAATTCATCGATGAGTAGTTTTTCAGATCCTGAACCATGCAAGCCAGTGGCGACAGCGGAGGAATTATTTAATTAATAAATAATGCGATATTAATGCAATTTTGCCAGATGTCTTGAATAGCTTCAAAAGTATTTATAATTTTAGATCGATTGGGATGATTGTGTATTGACTGTGTATTGAGCGTATTTGTAGAAAATATAACAAAAAAATGACAAGCATAGTTAAATACGACAGACAAAAGGTGCAAATAAACAATGACTTGAGATTTTATGGGGAGCCAAACAGTATTCAGAAGCAGAAATTACATAATCACTATATAATAATAATATTAATATATTTTGAGTACAAATGTACAATTAACCTTTAAGCTAGAAACATTTAATTTATTGAGCCCAAATGTTCAAGCTTGCTCGAAATTCTTACAGTCATGCCTTAAAAAACACATGCAAAAACTAAACTTTCACTGGAAGGTTGAAATTTGACATTACTCCACTGCGCTGTTAACTGTAATGACTGGTTAACTGTAACCCAAATACATTGCAGATCCATCGTAACCACCTGGTCGACATTTTATCCATAGGCTATCATTATTATTTTAACTGCTTGTTACTATTTATCAGAGTTGTGTCAGTTTATTATTTAA